ATATCATATTATTTTTTTAAAAAGATTATTTATTTATTTATTTATTTATTTGACAGAGAGAGACACAGCGAGAGAGGGATCACAAGCAGGGGGAGTGGGAGAGGGAGAAACAGGCTTCCCCCCGAGCAGGGAGCCCGATGGTGGGGCTCAATCCCAGGACCCTGGGATCATGACCTGAGCTGAAGGCAGACCTTAACAACTGAGCTAACCAGGCACCCCCATCTTTCTTCTTAATGTGTGTGATTCCCACTGTTCATAGCCAGAATGTAGAAGCAAGTGATTTTTCCACTTATATGCTAATATGTGATCAAAGTATATAATTTACCCTTTGTAATCTCCAGAAAGGTCTGAATCACCCGTTACCACTTATTCAGAAATACTATGACTTATGAAAGTTACTAATCAATCAACAAGCATTTATTAAATCCTTTTTGGGGTATATAATATTGTATAAATGCTATATCAGTATTAACTTTTTTTTAAAGATTTTATTCATTTTGAGAGAGAGAGAGTGTATGTGCAAGCATGGGGAGGGAGAGGGTCAAGCAGCTCTGCTGAGTGTGGAGTCCCAGGCGGGGCTTGATCTCTCAACCCAAGATCATGACCTGAGCTGAAATCAAGAGTCCGAAGTTTAACTGACTGAGCCACATAGGCACCGCTCAGTATTAACTTCTAAAAACTCTCTATTTCAGTATAATGAGCATAACATAGTTATCTGATGTTGTCAAAGAAGTGATAAAAGCACAAGTTAGGGGGGCCTGGGTGGCTCAGTCGGTTAAGCATCTGACTCTTAGTTTCTGCTCAGGTCATGATCCCAGGGTGGTGAGAATGGACTCCGTGCTCAGCTCAGAGTCCGCTAAGATTCTCCCTCTCCCTCTGCCCCTCCCTATTGTGTGCTTGTGCGTGAACACACTCTCTCTCTCTCTCAAATAAATAAATAAATAAATAAATAAATAAATAAATAAATAAATTGTTTAAAGTGCAAGTTAGGGGCGCCTCGGTGGCTCAGTCGTTAAGCATCTGTCTTCGGCTCAGGTCATGGTCCCCGGGTCCTGGGATCGAGCCCCACATTGGGCTCCCTGCTCAGCGGGAAGACTTCTTCTCCCTCTCCCTCTGCCTGCTGCTTCCACTGCTTGTGCGTACTCTCTCTCTGTCAAATAAATAAATAAAATAAAATAAAAAGCACGTTAGGGGCACCTGGGTGACTCAGTTGGTTAAGCGACTGCCTTCAGCTCAGGTCATGATCCTGGAGTCCAGGGATCGAGTCCCACATCAGGCTCCCTGCTCAGCGGGGAGTCTGCTTCTCCCTCTGGCCCTCTTCCCTCTCATGCTCTCTGTCTCTCATTCTCTCTCTCTCAAATAAATAAATAAAATCTTTAAAAAAAAAAGAAAAAGCACGTTATTTGTCTCTAATTACTTCATGTACAATTATTTTTTTAAGATTTTATTTATTTATTTGACAGAGAGCGAGAGAGGGGACACAAGCGGGAGGAAAGGGGTGGGAGGCAGGGTGCTAAGCAGGGAGCCTGACCCTGGACTCTCAACTCTCAGAGCTCGATCCCAGGACCCTGATCATGACCTCAGCTGAAGGCAGACGCTTAACCAACTGAGCCACCCAGGCGCCCCTACAATTATTTTTTTTAAGATTTTATTTACTTGAGGGGTGCCTGGGTGGCTCAGTTGTTAAGGGTCTGCCTTCGGCTCAGGTCATGATCCCAGCGTCTTGGGATCGAGCCCCACCATCGGGCTCCCTGCTCAGCGGGAAGCCTGCTTCTCCCTTTCCCACTCCCCCTGCTTGTATTCCCTCTCTCGCTGTGTCTCTCTCTGTCAAATAAATAAATAAAATCTTTTGTTAAAGATTTTTATTTATTTGAGAGAGAGAACTTGCACATGCAGGAGGAGGGGCAGAGTGGGAGGCAGAGGGAGAGGGAATCTGAGCATGGAACCCCATGCGGGGCTCAATCCCACGACCATGAGTTCACAACCTGAGCTGAAACCAAGAGGCAGCCGCCCAACCGACTGAGCCACCCAGTGCCCCTATTTCACGTACAATTATTTAATGTGTTAAAATCTTTTTTATTTTTAAGCAAACTCTAGGGGATACCTGGGTGGCTCAGTCGGTTAAGCATCTGCCTTTGGCTCAGGTCATGATCCCAGGATCCTGGGATCAAGTCCCACATCAGGCTCCTTGCTTGTTGGGGAGCCTGCTTCTCCCTCTGCCTGCCGCTCCCCCTGCTCATGTTCGCTCTCTCTCTCTCTCTCTCTCTCCCCCTGATAAATAAATAAATAAATAAATAAATAAATAAATAAATAAATAATCTTTAAAAAAAAA